CATTGCGGTCTCTGGCCCAGCTGGACCAGTCCAGCTCAGTGCAGGTCAAACTGCAGGGCAGAGCAGCAATGCCAGGGGGGCACTTGCATTGAATTCCACATCTCTCAAGCAAATTTTGGCTCACGCTTCTGGGTCTTTGGTGGGAATCCTTCTGAACATCTCTCGAAAGCACACTCAGAGAGGGGCTGTTACAGACCAATGGGCCAGAGCTCAAAGCAGAGCATTTCCTGGCTTTTCCTTCTCTTGAAAGGCCAGTCCGGGGTTATTTGAGGGGTTTCTGTGCCATCCCAACCTCCCACATGTGCTGGGGTGGCTGCCCAGCCCTCAAAGCAAGCTTTTGCTCGCCTGGGCATTGGCGCAAGGTCAGCATCCCCTGGCATGGAGGGAGCCTGCCCAGGGAAGCATGAAGCAAGACAGGCTGTCTGGGGCTGTTCCCAGGGATGCATCTAGGAATGTACTGGGTCACATTGAAAGATGTGACACTAACACTGCACTGTGGGTTCCCCCCAAGCCTCACAGCCTCATCAGCAACATCTTCAAGCTGGATCCTGTCGAGATGAGCATTCCTGGCTTATCCCACGCCTTTGCTACAGTGACCTTCACTCCAGAACAAAAGGAGGACTACCAGTGCACTTTCACAGCTTCCCTTGTTAGCCCAAAAAGGTAGTGACCCCGTGAAGTATTGGGGGGACCGTTCTGGTAGCTGCCTCTCCTCTTGGTGCCTCTAATGCTTTCAGTGCCCTTAGGCAGAGTACCTGGCATGAGATGATCTAGGAGGCATTAAGCATTAGGCAGAGCAGAGCAGGAAAATGAGGAGGATACTTCAGGCTGTGTGAGGGACTCTGAAGAGAGGGCCTCAGGTAGCCAGCTGGAAGTTACTGACAAGTGCAACAGCTGAGCTGGGGCTTTCCAAGGCCAAAGGCTCAGATGAAGCAGTTTCTGTGCCAGCAAGTCAAGATTTCCTCCATATTTCTGTAAAAGGAAGTGATCCTGTGTGGTTTCCAGGCATACATTAAGCTATTTTTATATCAGGGGAGTGACTGGAGCTCTTACCAAAGAGAAGCCCAGTTCCTCTCCCTGGCACCTGTGTACTGGGGCTCTGACCTGCCCTTCCCCAAGCCTTTAGTGGCTGAATTGGAACAGGGAAGTCAGCTTTCTGCCCTAACAAGCAATTCCTTCTTTAGGATCCTTGGAAATAATCTTTACTGACGGTGCTGTTGGTTTGGTTTTCCCTTCTTGCTTTCGTACTGTTCTCATGGTGTGCTTTTGCTTGTTGCATGTCTCCTATCACTGCAGCCAGAGGATTTGCCACGTCTCATCTGGTGCCTCGTTATTTATCTGCTGTATGGTGTGATTCAAATGAGGGAAATTATTTAGAACTGTTATTCTGGAAGGCTCTGGCTGAAATGGTTTCTGTGCCCACCAGTTCTGCCCTCCCAACAGCGAAACCAGTCCCGCCAGCCAACGGGACTGGTCAATGCAACAGGAGCCACTGGGAGGGACTGGGAGGGACTGGGTGTCATTATCTAGTTAACTAAACCAAGTCCCTTCACTATGAACCTTAGACAAGGTAAAAGGGAGGTAACTTGGTTTATGTCTTTACAGGGGCCCAATTAAGTTTTACGATTTCTTTTTCTTTTCTCTCTCCGGGTTGTGTTGACCTCAGGCTGTTTTCTTTTTATGGACCTCAAATCGTTCTCCCTTTTACCTTGTCTAAAATTTATAGTGAAGGGACTTGGTTTAGTTAACTAGATAATGACACCTTTCTGCAAAGTTGATAACTGTGCAGATAACAAGCACCCATCTGGCAGTGTCTGACCTGACAATGGGTAATGTTTTTGCTGTTGTGTAAGGAATGTATATATTTATAGAGAGAATAAATAGAGAACAAGTGTCTCCTTTCAACCCCTCCCTGATCCCCCAGCGCTGAATTTGCTTTTCTCAGATAATAAATTCTGGTTGGAAACCACCCGACTCTGGGTTTCTGTTCCTTACAAGTGTGGATCTGAAATATTATATCAATAATTTATTTATCTCAATATACTTTTATGTAAATCATTTATTTATTTATTTATTTATTTATTTATTTACACGCATTATACATTTGTATATATATTATTGAGATAAAATGTATATCAATATATTATATATAAATATATAAAGACATATTTATATATTAATTTCTAGACATTATTTATGTATTTAAATGTTTATTTATTTTATATGTTTTATATACATTTTATATACTTACATATATTATTGATATATATTATATATCAATACATTATATATAAATATATAATTAATATATATATTATTGATATATAATATATCAATATATTATATATAAATATATAAAAACATATACTAATATATATATAAATATTAATAACCAGGACTGGGGAGAACTGGGAAGCTTTACTGGGATCACTGGGAGCAGCTGGGTGGAGGCAGAGTGACAGCAGGGGAGGGGGGGACACACGACCCCCCAAAATCCTCACAGGGATGGGGGGGGTCCAGGCTGGGCCCGAGGCTCTGGGGAGGGGCTGCGGCCGCCGCCGGCTCAGGAGCTCTGTGGGGAGAGAAAAGGGGGGGACACCGGGGTGGGGGGACAGGGGGGACACCGGGATACACCGAGACCCAGACTGGATCCAGCGGGATCATATGTACTGGGATCATACTGGGATCAGACTAGGATCATACTGGCAGCAAGTGGTTCTACGCTTGGGGCAACTGGGAGCTACTGAGATCCCACTGGGAGCAATGGGGAGCAACTGGGACCATGCTGGGCACAACTGGGATCCTATTGGGAGCAACTGGGCCCACAGTGAAGGTGGCTGGGGTCATACTGGGAGTGACTGGGAGCGTTCTGAGGGCAGCTGGGACCATGTTGGCGCAACTGGGGTATACTGGGAATAAGCAGGATCACGCTGGAGGTGACTGGGATCATACTGGGAGCGACTAGGACCCCACTGGGGGTCACTGGGAGTGGCTGTGAGCAACTGGGATCATGCTGGAAGCTACTGGGAGCAACTGGGAGTGAGTATAACCACACTGGGGGCAAGTGGGATATACTGGGAGAGACCAAGAGTGACTGGGATCATACTGGGACTGACTGGGAGCAGGCTGAGGTCAACTGGGATATACTGGGAGAGACTGGCCGTGACAGGGATCCTACTGGGAGGGACTGGAACTACAGTGGGGTGACTGGGAGCAAGTGGGACCCTGCTGGGGGCAAATGGCTTTATCCTGGCAGTGCCAGGGAATGTCTGGGTTCATCCTGGGTGTGACTGACACCACACAGGGTGTCCCTGGGATCATACTGGAGTCATACTGGGAGAGACTGGGAGGGACTGGAACTGCAATGGGGTGACTGGGAGTAACTGGGACCATGCAGGGGGGAACTTGGATCCTACTAGGAGAGACTGGGATCATACTGGGACTGACTGGGAGAATGCTGGAGGCAACTGGGATATCCAGGGAGTGGCTGGGAGTGACTGAGATCATTCTGGGAGTGACTGGAACCATAGTAGGGGTGAAGGGGAGCAACTGGAACCACGCTGGGGGCAACTGGGATCCTACTGGGAGCAGTTGGGCCCCTACTGGGGTCCTACTGGGGTCATACTGGGAGTGACTGCAATAATACTGGGAGTATGTGAGAGGGACTGCAGCCATACTGGGGATGAGTGGGATCAAACTGGCTTCCTACTGGACGTGTCTGGAAGTTACTGGGATCATACTGGGGGTGACTGGACTCATACCGGGATCATACTGGGAGCAACTGGGACCATGCGGAGGGCAAATGGCATCCTCCAGGGAGTGACTGGGGCCATACTGGACTCAGATGGGGAGTCCCTGAGAGTGAAAGGAGCCATCCTGGGGGTGGCTGGGAGCAACTGGGACCACCTTGGGGGCAACTGGGATCCAGCACCATACTGGAATCATAGCGGGAGCGACTCTAAGTGACCAGGATCAAACTGGGAGTGACTGGAACTATGCAGGGGGGAACTGGGAGCCAGTGGGGCCATGCTGGAAGGCAACTGGGAACATCCTTGGAGCAACTGGGATCATGCTGGAAGCAACTGGGAGTAACTGGGAGTGACAGGGTGCATGCTGGGGGCAACTGGCATAAACTGGGAGTGACTGGGAGTGACCGGGATCATCGTGATGGAAACTGGAACCATCCTGGGGCAAGTGGAAGTAACTGGGTGCAGTGGGTTTCTGTGGCTGGGTTTTGGTAGCGGGGGGGCTACAGGGGTGGCTTCTGTTAGAAGAGTCCAGAAGCTTCCCCTGTCCCGTGGAGCCAATGCCAGTGGCTCCAGGATGGAATTCCTGCCGCTGGCCAAGGCTGAGCCAGTCAGGAGTGACAGCAACGCCTCTGGGATAACATATTTAAGAAAAAGAAGGAATTCCAGCCAGGGAAGAGCGGAGTGAGAACATGGGAATAACAACGTAGACCCCAAGGTCAGCGCAGAAGGAGGGGCAGGAGGTGCTCCAGGCACTGGAGCTGAGGCCCTGCAGCCCGTGGGGCAGAGCAGGGTGGGGCAGCTGTGCCCCTGCAGCCCCTGGGGGAGCATCGGGGTGCAGAGACCCCCCTGCAGACTGGGATGGACTGGGAGCCCTTAGGAGGGAACTGAGAGCCCTTAGGGAGGGACCGGGACAAAGTGGGAGCCCTTTGGAGAGGACTGGGATGAAGTGGGAAAGGTCCGCGAGCCCTCAGAAAGCCACCGTGGCCCTCCCGTCATTTGCGTAGCGCTGAGGGCAGGGCCCTTGCGCCATTTGCGTAGCTTTACGCAACTGACGTAACTCCTCCATTGCCATTACCGGCGCCCTCCTTACGCTGTTTGAGTAGGGCTGTGGGCATTCCTGGCCCCCTTACGCAATTTGCGTAGCGCCGCTCCATTGCCGCCCGCGGCGCCGCCTTACGCCGTTTGCGTATCCCTGCGCCGTTTGCGCAGCGCGGCGGGGGCGGGCCCGTGTCCCTGCTGATGTTTATTTATCAGTGTCCAGGCGCTCGACCCCTCAGCCCCTCACACACCCACGGGCCCCACGGCAGCGCGGGGGAGGATCCCGGGGGTGTCCAAAAGCTCCTCCAAAAGTCAGTTTATGGCTTTGCAGAGGGCTCTCGGGAGTCACCGAGGGGCTGAATGTAAAGAGAGAAAAATTAAATCTTTAGGGGGAAAAAAACATATAACAATTGCATGTCTGTGTTCCCGAGGAGCCGTGGGTGTTTTTAGGCAGCTGCCTGCAGAGGCCATCGCCGTTTCGTGAGGCGGCATTAATGCAGCGGGAGGAGACTTGTTCTGCTGTTCACAGAAATTCGGATTTTAAGGTTTTTCTCCTTGGTCTGAAGCTTCTTCATTCTTCCTTCGCTCTCTTTCAGAGCAAAGGTTTTAATTTTTAAACTTAAGAGGAAAAAAGTATTAACAACAAGTGAGGAAAACTAGGGGGTAAAGTTCTTCTGAAAGGATTACAATGTGCAAGCAGAATCAGTTCTTTCTCCAGGAGAGAAAAAAATATTAGAGGTGTAAATTTGCTCCAGAAATGCCCCCAAGGGCATAGGGAGGATAATCAGGATGACAGTGTGGCTGAGCAAGTGTGTTCTGCTCTATACCATTAATTTTCTGATGTTTAATACTTCAGCAGGTCCAGGACTTCCAGGACTGTCCTGGTGGCTGTGATCACAAATGATTCATCAGAGCCACTTGAACAAGAAAAGCCTTTCTAAACAAGGGCATTTCTGAGGCTCTTGCTGGTTTTTTTGCCTTCCAGCTGACCATCTTTGACTTCAGGGAGGTTGGTCTCAGGCTCAGGAAGAAGCCGGACAGCCCTCAGGAGACAAAGCTGCCCAAGACTGTCCGGCCCCCAGGCACGAGTGAGAACTCCAGTTCCAAGGTAGCCTTTTCCTGCCCTTTTCCTTGCTGTTTGATGTGACACTTGAAGAGGCTGCGTGCCTTGCCTCCAGCTCATTGAAACCCCTCAGTGTGCGGGTCCTGTTGTCGTTGCAAACTGCTGGTGGTGGTGGAGTTCCTTCTGCTGGGGCAAAGGCAAAACGTGTTCTCCTAGTGAGATGCTGGAGTCCTGATCTGTGCTAAGCCAACACAAATAATTTCTGCTGAAGCTGGTGGGGTTTGCTGGAGTTTAGCCACCATGGCGAAGGCACAATAGCGGGGGAAGGCTGGGGCAGGACACAAGGGCACGAGCTTGCCATTTTCCATTGTCCCACTGAAAGAGCCACCTCTTGCTTTGGTGTTGTCACTGGCAAATGCTGGGGGTCATAGGATTCCCTGCACAGTGGCAGTGCTGGCCTTTGAAGGCTGAGGGCCTGAGGGAATTACTCCCAGTCTAACACAACTCCAGTTGCCCAGCACTGCTGAGAAAAGAGCTGAACGTTATCCTCATGCAGCACTCACCTTATTTGTCCTATTCCTATCTACTGTGGTACTTTCTTTTTGCCCTTAACCTTCTCTGGTGCTGTTCTCTTCTTACTGGTGTCTAAGCTCTAGAGTCTGGAGTTGTGTGGGCCTCAGTCTCCCTGCCTCAGAGTAAAGGTCACCCAAAAATTGTTTCCTATGGAGTCTGATGTAAATTCTTGAGTTTCACTTACTGCTTGAGTGCTCAGTGAGTGCCCAGAGCTCTGGGACCCCATTAGCACAGGGCTGTGCTGGAGGTAAGCGCTGCCTGGCATCTTGGAGAAGGAAAGCTGGAGAAACTCCGGCCAAAAGAGCTGCTCAGCTTGAGCCTGCTTGGTGTGGTCCAGCAGCTTTTGATCAGCTCAGAGCAGAGGTGGGTGAGCTACTGTTCCCCCAGTGGCAGCTGGGCAGACCTAGTCACCAAGAGCCTGGACTTCACCGGGGATCAAGAGAGGAGAGTCATTCACGAGCCTTCCTCCCAGCAGCTGAACCTCTCCCTGCTCTCTCTCACCTCTCCAGTTCTCATCCCCTGACCATTACAAGACCTTGCTTGAGCCTGTCCCATCCGAGCTGGTGTTTCAGAACTATGTCCTTGGCAAGGTCTGTGAAACGGCCCTGCTTCTGAGGAATAGAGACAAGGTAAGTGCTGGGATGTGGTGCTTTAACACTGTGCTAGAAGAAGAGCAGAGTGGTGTAACCCCCATGGTTTACAGCAGAACAAGTATCAGCTGTGGCCCATCCAGATTCACCACCTTGGATTTGCAAGATGGTGGGAATTTTCCCGTGCTGAGGATTCTCCCCTGATTTTGGCCGTGCCTTGGTGGTATCTGACATCCAGAGCAATGGGCTCTTGAGGGTTTCCACCTTCACTTGAACAAAGTGTGATTGTTTTGCAATTGCCCACGAAAGCTGAGAAGGAAGAAGTTGAAAAATGTCAGCAATTGTGTTGCCCTGTAAAGAGGAAAACTGAGACCTTTTGAATTTCAGTCAAGGAAACAGTTTCTCAAATGACTCTTGTGCCAAGAGCAAGCTGGTGGGAATAGACAGCAGGGAGTCCAAATCACCTGGTTTAGAGGTTGTGAGATGGGATTTGGTGCTCAGGGGTTGATACCCCTGTGCTAGCAAATGCCTGTTTGCTGTCCCTGTGCCTGTGTTCCCCTGAGGGCAGAAAGTGGCAGCAGGGTGGCTGCAGGAATGCCCAGCAGTCTGGCTTGCCTGCACTGGCAGCTGCCTGGCCACAATCACCAGGCAGCAAGAGCCCCTGGAGAGCTGAGACTGGCTTTTAATAATGAAACCACACTGTCAGTCGGTGCTGCTCATGTTTCTCCAGGCAGAAAATAACCTTTCAAGCCCAGAGTTGACAGGCCCAGCCTGCAGGGCCGTCTGGCTTTCCCTCACTCTGGCAAGCTGACTGCTCCCATCTTCTGCACCAGCCTTTCCTGGCAGTGTCCTGTGCTTCTCCCTTGCTTCTTTACAGCCCATTTCAATTCTCTTTGCCATCTCATTGTGTCAGGGCTTGTCTCTTTGTCTTGCTGTGTTCCTCCTTTTCTCTTCAGTTTCCCAGGAAGGCCAAGAGTCTGGTCTCCTCTGCTGGTGTGCCCATAGGACTGTCTCCCCACAGCTGGACTTCCCCCCTTCACCTCAGTCTGTTAGAAGGGAATTTCTTCCTTCCCCCAGGACAATGTGCTGGTTTGCCTTCAGGTAGCACATTCTGCCTCTGGAACAGGGCTGCGTGGCTGTGTGCAGGCAGAAGCAGGCAGATTCTCTGGGCTTGTTGAAATGAGGATGACTTGGTTCAGGTGTTCTATCTCCATACTGCTGGTGCCTGACCTTCCTTCCCAGCAGGCACTGCCCTACTGCCTCTGGCCGAGCCGCTTTGCCCAGGCAGAGGGATCCAAGTTCACCCTTGTGTAGCCTGTGCTTGTATCTCCAGAGCTAAAAGTCCTTTGGGAAAATGGTCAAGGAAGGCTGTCACCAGGGCACACCCAGGTCTCCTCCTGTTTGCACAAGTGGCAAAATCACCATTTTGTGTCTTTCCTGCAGGTTACTCGGCTGGTGAAGGTCACCATGGACAGCTCACCTTATTTCAAGTTGGTCGGCCCCAATGGTGTGTGCCATCAGATCCCACCGGGCTCAGTTTGCACTATAAACATCCTTTTCACCCCTGAGGGGAGCAAGGTGAGTTGGAGGAACGTTCTCTCTAAAGCCAGGGCGTTTGTTGCACGCTGGTTATAGCCCAGCCCGTGCTGTGAGGTCGGCTCTGGGCTGGGGGCAGGCAGCCTGGAGCTGGTCACACCTCGTCACGGCGTGGTGCTGCCAGGCCCTGCAGCTGGGCCTAGAGGGCTGTGCTTTCCCTCCATGCCTGTTCTTGAACGTTCACGGGGGAAGAGGCAGATGGAACAGCAGGGAAATGACAGGGAGGGGTGTTGAGGTTTAGCCATCTCTAGGTTCAGTGGAAGGGATTTAAATATGGAAAATACCAGAGGAACAAAAAGATGATCCAGAGAGCTTTATTCTTTCCCATTGGAATGGAGCAAAACTGATGCTTTTTCACATGCTCTGTTCTCCAGCCTTTATTAGTATGAATTAGTGGTCGTTTTTGGGGTGGGAGAGGTCAATTCACGCCCACAAAGGGTCATAGAAAACAGCACTTTTTCTTCTGCCATGAGGATGGCACTCAATGCCCTCAATGCTGTGCCAGTTACTTTTCCTGCAGGATCATTTCCACCAGCTTGTCTGCAGCAGTGAAAGAGAAAAGCTCACTGTGCCAATCCGAGCCATTGGTGCCCGCCCAGTCTTGGACTTCCCTGACCAGCTGGACTTCTCGCCGTGTCCAGTCAACCACAGCACCCAGAAGACTCTGCTGGTTCACAACACTGGGAACCTGGAAGCCTGTTACAGCCTCAGCACTGAGAGGTAAAGCAGCTCATCTGTCTTAGTGCAAAACACCTTTGGGTGATGGCAGAGTTGGGAAAGAGGATCCCAAAGGAACCAGAGCATCCGAGCTGCTGCACTGCAGCCACAGCTGGAAAGGGGCAGGACGTGTGGGGTCTGCTGTTGCTTCTTGTGTTTTAAGCAGGATGCAAGCCCTGAGCTTTGTCTCTCCCAGATTTCCTGGGGACTGCTGGAACACGTTAGTGGTTGGTCTGCACCCTCCTGAGCACCAACACCTTCTGAAATGGCTGCCTCCCACTGTCAGCCAATAAACCCACTGGGCAGAAGCACCTCTCACCTGAGCTATCCTGAAGCACTAAAGCACTGGTTTTTGTGTCTGTCAGGCAAGAGCTGTTTACCTGGTGACAAAGCCAAATTGCTCCTGTTAAATCCAAACTGCACCAACACATTTGCCTAATAATTTCCCTTGTTTCTCTGGTGGGCCAAGTAAACAGTTACCAGCCTGGACGACACTCCAGAATCCCAGACTGCATCGCTGGGGAATACACAGAAACCTCCTGTTCAGCTCCCTTGATGTGCTGCTCTTAATGGCACTTCATTTAGCTGGGATTGAATCCTTCAGGCTGTAAACAGGACCCTCCTTTTGGGTACTGTGTCCAGGTCACTGTATTGCTCCAATTTGCAGTTGCACTCCTTCAGAGTTTTCATTGCTCCTTTTCTTCCAGCAGCTTTCATTGAAATGTGATAAAAGGTGCCCTTTCTTAGGCTAAACCAGGATGTTTACAAGGGGAAAAACAACCCCAGACAACCACACTGCAAATTAAACTCATTATTCTCTGGTCTTCAAGGAAGACTTTATTCTCCTTCTTGATTCCTAGGCTGGAATCTCACAGGACAGGTGAGATGCCATTTGCATCTCTTGAATGAGGTTTATAAGGGACTGGAAAAGAGATTCCTGAGGCAGTCAGTGTCAAGTTGTGCATGCAAATAGCTCTTAACCCTCTCTGTGCTCTTCCCAAACCAGTCTCTGCTGGGATTGCTGGCAGTCGGACCCTTGAGCCTCCACGCAGAGTATGGGGGAGATGAGTTCATTTCATCCCACAGGATTTTCTGAGGGCTGCATCTCCTCCAAAGAGAGTCAGTAGCTGTTTCTGATGCTGTGTGTTCTGTCTGTCTTCTGCTGACTGTGGTTGCTTTGCTCCTCGCTTGCACAAGTCAGCTGAAGTGAACTAGACTGCAAGTATCGTCCCCAAACCTCCCCCAAGAGTCCTGATCTCTCTCTTGGTCTTGCAGCCCTTTCACTGTCAGCCCAGCCACGGGAACCCTCGATGTTGGTGAAGCCAAGCAAGTGACAGTGGAATATCACCCGCTGGAGACTGGGCACCATTCCACATCCCTGGCAGTGCACTGCGACAGAGGTGAGTGCTGGGCACTGCACGGTGCACTCACCCCACGTCCTTCCGAGCAGCGGAGCCCTTTCTAAGCAGAATAACGTTAGACTTGCTCTGCAAACTACTTGTAGAACTGTTCCTTTCAAAGCCTTCGTGTGTTTCAGTGCTCAGAAGTGAGCAGAGAAGGGGCCAAGGCTGAGTCTGCCCCTGTCCTGGATGTGCTGTGTTGCTGTGTGCTGGTCCATCCCTGGGGGGACCCTGGTGCCAGCATGGTGTCCTCCATCCTGCACCCCCACCCCAATCCTCTACCAGCACTCCCCACTGTCCCAGCCACCTGAATTCCCCCTCCAGCAGCACCGCCCCGTCCCAGCTTCACCGCAACGAAAAGTGCAAACTAGTTAGTGTTTAGGGGGTTGATAAAGTGGATAAAGCCCTCAAACAGGGATGAGATTTTTGGAATCCTGTTTTGCTGGGAGTTGCTGAGTGGAGGAAGGAGGAACCTTGATTCTCCACTGCAGTGTGGATGTGCAGGGCTGAAGTTGTGTTCCTGGACAGTGCTGCCTGTGACGTGTGAGCTTTCCATCCAACTCTCTCCAATGTCATGTGTCTTTTGCTCACCTCTGTCCCCTAAACTGCTTCTCTGTTGTCTTGCCACAGACCCTTTTTCTATGTTGTCCTCTACACATACATGTAACTTCTGTCTAAGAACATTTTCAGGCCCTCGGGTTCCTGTTGGATGACAAATTGTGACAAATTGTCCCTTATTCCCATTTCCCAGGCCATTCATGCTCTCCCAACCTCTCCCATCTGTCTCCCATTTGATTTCTAGGTTGAGGAACCCCATTCAGTCTTCATATAAAAGCTGCTCTGTACTTTTAGTCTGTCTCTCTGCCCTTCTTTCTTTCATTTCAAATGTTTCAGCTTGGTGTTTGAGATCAGAATGATATCAAATATTTCTAGACTGATGTGGCCGTGGGTTTGGACAGGGAGGGGATGATGGCTTTCATGGTGTTGATTTTCTAGTGCTTTGTCATATTGAATGTTGTAGAGCATTGTGTCTTGTTTCCTCACCTTTGCTCCCTTCTGCCGTGGGCTTCACTTCCCTTGCTCCCCTGGACCTCCCTTTCTTCACACCTGCCCCCAGGAATCTTTGCTTGTCAGCAACAAGGGATTGGGAGAGGCAGGAGCCCCGTGGGGTGCCTTCAGGAGCCCCTGGGCTGTGACTGAGTGGGGCTCCTTAGAGTCACCTGAATGAATTTGATGCAGAATTGCCTGGGATCTGAGTGGGTCACCTGAGCACACCTGACAAATCTCACTGTAAACACTGTCACCTGGGGACAAATCTCTACAAAGCCACCCAGAAATAAGGTGCTTAAGGTGGTGTCCAGGACATCCTCACACTGTACCCACGGAGCTGTTGGGATTTGATAAATGTACTGATCCGTGGAATTACTTATCCGGCTAAAAGTTGGACACTTTCTTCTGTTACCTGTGGTTTGCTCTGCTCCTTGTAATTCCATCAGCAAGGGAGCTGAGCAAAGACTCCTCTTTGCTTTGTTCCAGGTGAAGATACCCACACCAGACTTCTTGGAAAAGCTAAGGACTTCAACATCGGGCTGGACAAGTACTCTTTGGAACTTGTCAAGCCACAGAACCACGGCCATCCACAACAGAAGTAACATCACAGCCCGATTCCAGTGGAAGGCTTTTGCTACTGAGGCAGAGGAGTATCCACAGAAGATCAGGCTGGTCTGAAAGATGCAGTGACATGCACTGCCCAAGGGTAAAACTAACATATGGCCTCAGGGGGTGCTTGTGCTTTTGAGTGCTTTAGGGTGTTAGGAACAAGTAGGTGTTCCTGCAAAGTTTGCAGGGCAGTCACAGCTCGCAGTAAGAAGCGACAGAGTTGTTCAGTTCTCAGCTCCGGAGAGGGGCAGTTTGCCCAGAGACAGGGGGACCAACCAGCAGCACGGGAGGATCATGTGGCCCTGTCCTCCCTTTTGAAGTGCTGTGGCCTCCACCTTGAACAATGTCAGTGACCTCCAGAGCCACTGTGGCAATGGATTTGCCATATGCAGGATGGAAGAAGTCCTGTCAGAGATGGACTAGTGAGGAAAAAGAAGAAAACAGTTCAAATGTTATAGAAACAGAAGTTTTTAATGTGGTTTAAACATGTTTCAAAATGGCTTTTTGTATTTTCTGCAAGGTCATTGCTTCTTTTTCCTGACACCCCCTGTGAGAGACTTGTCTCCCATACAAGATGTCCTGGGAAGGTGTCCTGAGGTGTTTCTCACTGGTCCTTGTTAACCCCTTCCTATTGGCTGTTGACCCCTTACCTGATTGGTTTTTTCTGTGTGCCCCTGAACTTGTGATTGGTTTCCCTTTGACCCTCCTAAAAGCCTTATAAACCCCTTCCCCACAATAAACTTCCTCTTTCGTCCGTCCCTCCCTGGTGGTCTGTGAGATATGGATGGCTGCAAATTCCAACGATAAAGCAGCAGTACATGCCAACATAGGCTGGACTCACGTCTTAGCAATACTTGAAATGCAACAAAAAATCCCAAGCCCCTAGGGGAGAACACCGCAGCTTCCCTCCTGGATCTAGGAGAGGGGGGGTGACCGAAGTCACCGCGGGAAATGGGGGAGGGGGGAGACAGAGACCCCGTCCAAGAGCCGCGGGCAGCGGTCCGCCTTCAGCCCCCCCATTGTGGTCGGGTCATGGCGGTGCCGCGCACCTGGTCCCTGATACGGCTTTTGGTTTTGGCGCTGCCCCACCCCAGCCCCCTACACGCATCGGACCCGGGGCGGCAACCCCCATCCCGGGCTTCAGCACGGAGGCGGCCCCTGTCCCGTCCTGGGCTCCTCTGTCGCTGGCTGCCGGTGGGGCGAGGAGAGGAGAAACCGCCCGCGGCCAACACCGGCGGGACCCCTCCCCGCCTCCCACCGAGAGCGGCCAAACCCATCCGGCTGGTTCCGCCAAGCCCGTTCCTGAGCCCAGACTTCCCTCAACCGACTAACAGCACCACTCCAGGCACAGCCCCAGTGACACAAAACTTTATTCTACCGCCCCTGACACGGAATAGCTGCCACAGGCACTCTTCGGGGTAGAACTCTGCCGAGAAAAATCCAGCAGGCGTTTGTGTGGCTTCAGCCCCAGCCCCTCCTGCCCGGCAACTCTCAGCGGGAGATCACCAACGGCAGTTTCCCCAGGTAGTTTCACAGCCGCAGCACCCGGCCCCCATCACCGCATGGTCAAACAAAGGAGGCAGGGAATTCCCAGCTTCCAACCACACCGGACAGACAGCGAGAGCTCCTGCGTTCCCTAGGGATGCCGAGCGGGACAGGATGACGTCATGGGGACCCCCTCCCTGCCCGGCGCCGGGGACGGGACAACCTCTGCCCTGCAGCTCCAGCTCCCCCCGCTTCTTTCTACATCGTGCCGCGACATGCAAGGACACCCACAGCTTCAGAGCACCTTCACGACCGAGCATCACAGACTCACTCGCCTAACGGACAGGATTTCCCCCACCTCTTACAGCATGGACCTACCTAGCTGTGACTGACTCAGCAGCACCAGGCTCACCAAACAGTTTTCCAGCTACAAACCATTCACAATCCTTAACAACATTTAACAAATTTTCTCCCAATAATCCATTTTCAAATATGTCAAATAATTTTAACAATTCTGTTTCTCCTTTTAACCCTTTTCTTTCTTCCACAGGAACCAACCATACCAATAATTGTAATGATATAAATAACGTTCCTAGTCATGTTAATGGTTTAAATTTATTGCAGGCATATCCAGTGTTGAATAATCCAGATGCACCCCCGGTATGGGACCCCTTAGACATACCCCTTCTCAAAGATGCAAAAAAGGCAGTAACAACTTATAGTTTAAATTCAGCATATGCAATGGGAATTCTGTCGTCTTTATTCTCAGCCTTTGTACTAACTCCAAATGATTTAAAAGATATAATGAGATCCTTACTAAATAAGGTACAAATAACTGTTTTTAGATGAATGGAAAGCTTTAATTAGAAAGGATGCTCATGAAACTAGTACCACTACACGTAGACCTATAGAAACTACAATACAAATGCTTTTTGGTGAGGGTCCATATGCTGCAAATACAGATCAGGTCAAAATTCCAAAACAAGACTTAATTGCTACCAGAAATATGGCATTACAGGCACTACAATCAGTAGTTGATGCCTCTCAAACAACTCCACCTTTCAATAATGTAACTCAAAAGCCTGATGAATCTTTTATTGACTTTGCAGAAGGATTAAAAGAATCTATAGAAAAACAAATAAAGGTGAAAGAAGCACAAGATGCCCTATTCCTGAAGCTAGCTATCTCCAATTCAAATGCACAGTGTCAACAGATTCTCAGAAACCTTCGTGACCCTACCCCCATGGATGTGGTAAAGGCTTGTAAAGATATTAGCCCTAATGACAAATTAGCAAATAACCTGGTCCAAGCTCAGGTGTCAATGTCTAACCAATTAGCTGAAGCTAATATACAATTAGGCAACCAAATTGCAGAAGCAACTCAGCAGATGGCAGAAAAAATGACCCAAGCCTTAGCAGCAGCCCTAGACCACTCCAAAATAATATGCCATAATTGTAAATGTCCAGGTCATATAAAAGCTAACTGCCCACCATTTCAAAACCCCAATTCTCAAAAAACCATTCATCCAGGCCTTTGCCCCAGATGGAAAAGAGGGCTACATTGGGCTCTAGACTGTCAATCTCTATTTGACAGAGATGGAAACCCACTCTCACCCAGGCCTCCTCACAGAACACAGAATTCGGGAAACGGCTTGGCGAGCGCTTAGAGCGGCACGTGGACATAAAAAGCTCCTTTAAGCAATCTAATCTACCCCTCTCAAACAGTTCCCAACAAAAACCCCAAACAGGTGCCTTTAAATTGGAGCTAGCAACTTCAAAACCTCAAACCTTAGAAAAAACGGAGTATCACACTGTGTTATTGGCTTCTGCTTCTTCTCAGGTTTCAGATTTCAAAGGTAAATGTGTTATCACAGGAACAGATTCTGCAACTGCATTAGGCATTACTGTGTTACCTATGGTTATGAGTCTCCAAGATCGTAAAGTTGTGTCTGTTGTAAAACCTAACTTTGTACCCACAGTGATTAATCCAGAAGATCAAATAGCACAGGTCATACCCATAGAGGCAGAAACCCAGGATGAACAGGGAATTTGCAGAAATTGGGCTCAAAAGGTTCCTCTTGACAGACCTATAATAGAATGTACTCTTCTCTCTCCTAATTCAGGCCAACAGAAATCTGTGTCTGGCTTACTGGACACGGGCGCAGACATTTCCATAATCTCTGCCAAAGATTGGCCTAGCACCTGGGGTACAACAAGACCAGCTGTCGACATCCAGGGAGTAGGAGGATCCAAAATTCCTCTCCAGAGCATTCTACCACTTCTGGTCCAAGGCCCACAGGGTAAGGTAGCTTCATCTAAACCTTTTATATTGGACATTCCACTAACCTTGTGGGGCAGAGATGTAATAACACAGTGGGGAATTATCTTATCCATTCCAAATTTGTGATGAGGGCCACTGGAGAGCCGCAGGCACCACCTCTCACATGGACATCAAACACACCAGTGTGGATAAACCAGTGGCCCCTCAGAGGAGAGAAATTGCGGCAAATTCATAACTTGGTAAAAGAACAATTGGACAAAAGCAGATTAGTCCCCACAAACACTCCATGGAATTTTCCAATTTTCACAATCAAAAAATCATCTGGGAGATGGAGGTTTTACATGATTTACGAGAAGCCAATAATATCATAGAGCTGATGGGAGCCCTCCAAGCTGGGCTACCCTCCCCTGCCATGCTCCCAGCAGACTGGCCACTTGTTATTTTAGACATTAAAGACTGTTTTTTTAATATCTACCTCCATCCTAACGATACACACAAATTTGCATTTTCTGTTCCAGCTCTTAATGCAGCTGAACCCTCCAAACGTCTCAGTTGGCTCACATTGCCACAAGGGATGAAAAGCAGTCCCACAATCTGTCAGTCTGTGGTGTCCAATATAATTGAACCAATTCGATCTCAGTTTCCTGAAGCTATCATTTTCCACTACATGGACGACCTATTGATCAGTGCCCCTAATACTGACAAATTGACATTGGTACATAAATCTGTGAAAAAAACCCTGAGTAATCATGGGTTAGAAATAGCCCCAGAAAAAGAACAAAGAATTTCCCCGTGGAAGTACCTTGGTCTGATAATAGAAGCGAGAACATTTAGACCTCAAGCAGTAACCTTGCCCACGAAAATAAACACACTAAACGATCTGCAGTCTCTTTTGGGAAATCTCAATTGGATACAATCCTTTTTTGGTTTCTCAACAGATTTTTTAGCTCCTTTGTTTCAGCTCCTTAAGGGAGAAGCAGAACTAACTTCTCCTCGTCGCTTGACACCAGAAGCAGAAAATATTATAGAAGTGATCAACCAAAAAATTTCAGAACAACAGGTAAACAGGAGAGTAGAGGGATTACCTACTGCATTGCTAATCTTTCGTGGACCAAAACGGCCTTTTGCTGTAATAGGACAATTAGACTCAAAACCCAAAAAATTTCTTTTGTGGGAATGGGTATTTCTCAGTCACCAGTTTTCAAAGACAACCTTAGGCCTAGGCTTAGGTTTATTATTAATCTTAGATTTAGGCTTAGTCTTTAAGCTTTAGACATAGGCCTAGGCTAGGCTTAGATTTAGATTTAGGCTTTAGGGTTTATGCTTATTTTTAGGGTTAGTTTTAGGCTTAGTCTTAAAATTAGGCACCCAAAACCAAACTAAAAGAATCCCAGAGTCCAGAGAGAAGCGTCACGAACCGGCGCGGACACAGGTCCCCGGCTGCCACCGGCCCTTCCCACCAGCTCACGCTGGCCCCCCCCATCTCGCAACTCCTCCTCTCCTTGCGCACCCGTCTGTTGCTCCACCGGCCCTGTTCTCCCCTCCCATGTGGGGCAGCACCAGGTGAGGCCAATGAGGATGACGAAGTGGCGGGGCAAGCCCAGGTGTAGCCACTGAGGATTATGAGGGACGGGCCCTGCTGTGTGCACTTTCTGTAGGGAGCTTATGCAGGGGAGCTGACGGTTCCGGGACTCTCTCAAGCACTGAT